GAGTGCTGGGATTACAGGCGTGCACCACCATGCCTGGCTTTATGGTTCATTTTTCTTCTTGTACTGTTTTTGCCTGGTGTTGATATCAGGTTCATGCTGGCCTCAGACAATGAGTTAGTTCTTTCTTCTATTTTCTGGAAGAGATTCTATAGAATTAGTGTTATTTCTCTTTACATGTTTGTTGGTGTTTGCTAGTGAAACTGCCAGGGCCCAGAGAGTTCCTTTTCAAAGGTTTTGTTTTGTATTTTTGGTGCTGATGGTTGAATTCAGGGTCTCAAGCACGCTAAGGTACACTCCCAGGCCCCAGAGGGTTTTTTAACTACGAATATAGTTTCTTTTTTTTTTTTTTTTTTCTTAGTTTTTCTCCGGTACCGGGAACCGAACTCACGACCTTGCGCTTGCCAGGCAGGCGCTTTTGCCGCTGAGCTAAATCCCCAGCCCCTGTTCTTTTTCTTAGTTTTTCTCCGGTACCGGGAACCGAACTCATGACCTTGCGCTTGCCAGGCAGGCGCTTTTGCCGCTGAGCTAAATCCCCAGCCCCCATTCGTCTCTTGATGGACAAAGAGGGGGCTTCCAAGATTTTGCTATTATGAATTGTGCTGCTATAAACATGGATGGATCCCTGTAATAGGGTGACTTTAACTCTTTCAGAAAGATACCTACAAGGGGACTAACTGGGTTGAATGGAATTTCTTGTTTCAGTTTTTTGAGGGATCTGGGTACTGATTTCTATGGTATGTGCTCTAGTTTACATTCCCAGCAACAATGTAGAAGGCTTCATTCTCCCCCTGCTGTCTCGCCAGCCTATGTTGTTTCCTGATTTTCTGATCGTGGCCGTTCTTTCTGGAGTAAGACACAGTCTCAGTGTCATTTTAATTTGCATTTCCTTAATGGCCAGAGCTGTTGGACATTTTCTCAGGTACTTACTGGGCATTTGTACTTCTTCTGAGAAGGGTTAGTTCATTTCAGTTGCCCACTCTTTTACTGGGTTTTTTATTTGGGGAAGTCTGATTTTTCAGTTCATTGTATATTCTAGGTACTAGTCCTCTCTAGCTGGCAAACATTCTTTTCCATTCTGTAGCTTGGCTTTTCACTCTGTTCTTTCCTTTGCTGTGCGGAAGCTTTTGAATTTGCTGTGATCCTGTTTGCTGATTCTTGGTGTTAGCTCTTGTGCAACTGGAGTTCTGCTCAGAAAATCCTTGCCTGCATCTATTTCAAGAGTTACCTGTTTTATCTGCCAGCAGATTGTTCTGCTTTAATATTTAGATCTTTGATCCACTCTAATTTTAGGTTAGGACATGGTGGGAGATACGGGTCTAGATTCAATCTCCAGCAAGCAGCCAGCCAGTGGTCCCAGCCAGTTGTTAAAGAGGCTGTCTTTCCTACAGTGTAACTTGCTGGCCCTTTTGTCAAAGATCATATAGCTGAATGCATTTGGATTGTACCTGTGTCCTCTATTTTGTTCCACTGATCCACATGTCTGGTTTTTTGTCTTGTTTTGTTGCTGGTGCCATGCTGTTTGTGTCACTGAAGCTTTGTAGTATAACTTGAAGTCTGGAATTGTGATTCCTCCTACCTTGCTCTTGTTGCCCAGGATTGCTTTTGCTATCCTAAGTCTCTTCAGGTTCCATATGAGTTTTAGCATTATTTTCTGTAGTTCTCTAAGGGTATTGGTATTTTGATTGGGATTGTGTTAAATCTGTATATCAGTTTTGGAAGTATGGCCATTTTGAATACCTGTCATATCTTGGGGTGCACACTGCTGCTCCACAGCCAATGGGGATCATAAACTCAGCACCAGTAATGAATTAAAGGAATGAAGTTTAAAACAAGGGAAGATACTTTATTTGTAAGGGAGAAAAAGACGGAAGACAGAGGCTACTTCTGAAAGATGAGGCTAAGGGGCCCCAAGATGGATAGGATACCTGAGGGCCTTTGACCCAGCTTCCTTTTTTCAAGAGATAAAGACCCTCCCTCCCAGTTCCAAATTGGCAACTTGTCACAACCTGATTGGCTGTCCGGACTGTTGCAGATGGATCCCAGAGGACCCTAATCTGCACATTCCTAGGTGGGCTTTTGGCTTGTCTTGTCAGGGCCTTATCTCTGGGATTTATAGGTTGGTTTAGGAGGAGCCTTGCATGCAAGCTGTCTTGGAGTTAGTGATTAAGTAACAAGAGTGATTAAGCAATACAGTGGCCTGGAGTGGGAATGTGCCTGCGAACTAAATAGGAGTTTGCTTTTAAGTGGCCTCCCCTTGTCTCCTCTGCGATTTCCTGGAGGTGGGGAGGGGCGGCTGCTTTGGTTAATGCACCTGTCCTCCTAATGGCTCTCTTTAGCCAAGTTTTAACTCTTTCTAGTGAGGCTTTGCAGAAAATCTAACCAGCCTAGAGACCCCTGCATGGCCGACAGACCTGCGCCACCCCCCTGCTCCCAGCCGCTTCTGCAGAGCAGGGTGGCTGCTAGAGACCAGGCAGCCCCCTGTGCCCTGCGCTGTCAGGGCGGCACCCGGGACTCAGCTCTGCTTCAGGAACCGTGCGCTTCCCTTCCACCCCTGGGAACAGCGTCCTTTTCTAAACCCTTCCCTGTGGTGTTGCCGAGGTGAGGAGGGGCAGTCGGATGTGCCGTGGACGCTGCTGCTGTCACCTGGGAGTCACCTCCTGTGTGTCACTGCATTGTGTCCTCAACTCATCTTCTTGAGGAGTCCAGATGGGTTCTCTCTGCCAAGTCTGTCAGATACCAGTGGGAAATCGAGACTTCCCGGCACCGTGATGCTTTGGTCTGTGTACTCCGGGCTGAGTTCAGGTGCAGAAGAGAATAAGCCGAGCCGCGGGAGGCCTGGCCCCCGCCCCCTCACTCTGCGTCTGTCCCTGTGTCCCCACAGAGGAGTGTGCTGCAGCTGCTGCACTCCAAGAGCGAGGTGGTCCGGCAGTACATGGCCCGACTGGTCAACGCCGTGGCTTCTCTAGCCGAAGGTGAGCGCTTTCCCTTGGGGACGGAGAGGGCCTAGGGAGCCTTCAGCTCTGAAAAGGAACCTTCTCCCCACGTTTCTCAGAGGTGATATGGTTCCACTCAGCATCGTGGCACAGCCCATAATCCCAGCTGTGTGGGAGGTTGAGGCAGGAGGATCACCGGTTCTAGTCCCGCCTGGGCAGTTAACAAGACCCTGACTCAAAAAATAAAAAAACAAAAAGATCTGAGGATTTGGCTCAGTGTGAAAACCCTGGGATCAAGCCCCAGTACCACCTGACCCCACAAAAAAGGATAGATTTCTAACTTTATTCTTATTTAATTCATCTAAAGTCTCTTGTGAAGATCAGTTCTTGTCATTGCTTCTTTCAGAGCGAAATTTGTAGCCTTTGGAGCTTATTTTACAGGCCTTCTGTTTTATTAAGCTTTCTGATTTTACAACAGTACTGTTTAGATTTCTTTCGAGCCTGTAACAGGTAATACTCTTTCTGTCTTCTACTTAAAGGAAGGTAAGGTTGGCAAAACAACAAAGGCTAATTCCAATCGACGCAGCACTAGTTCCTCTAATACAGGACAAGCTCTCAGAACAAAGGCCTAGACAGTTCCCCCAAACACCACGCCACCTTGAGTGAATTCATAATTTCACACAGTGGGGTGATCCACCCCAAGTTCCTGTTTGTTTGAGCTCTTTTTATTTTTTTAAATATTTATTTATTTCTAGATAGGGTCTCACTATGTAGTTCAGACTGGCCTTGAACCCACTATTTAGGCCACAGGCCACACTGGCCTGGAACTTGGAGTAATCCTCCTGCCTCAGCCTCCCGAGCACTAGGATTACAGGTGTGCACCGCCACGCCCATGGCTTCTTTTCTGACATGATCAGCCTGTGCCTTTCGGTGTCTCATGTCCAGTTTTCCTCAGTACTGGAGCAAACCAGACCCATCCTGCCCGGCTCTCCCGTCCCCTCTGGTGTGTCCTTAGGTCGCCTCTACCTGGCCCAGAACATGCAGGTGCTGCGGCTGCTGGAGGGCAGGCTGAAGGAGGAGGACAAGGACGTGGTCACCCGCGAGAATGTGCTCGGGGCCCTGCAGAAGTTCAGCCTCAGGTGACAACCGGGCCAAGGGTCGCCCTGCTCACGCGGAATCAGGCTGCGGTTTGGGCAGCTTGTTGGGCTCCATTGCTCCCTGGGAGGCAGGCAGTGACTTTTCCCTTGGTGTCTGAGGGAGAGCCGGAGGGCGCCACTGGGCTCTGCCGGTGCCAGCCACGTGCCGGGCAGTGTCTGCGCCCGAGAGCAGCCTTAGGTTGCCCCGTGGGGTCAGGGACAGGGCCCCGTCCCCGTCTACCTGCACCCCCACAGCCCACTGCCGTCTCAGCCGGGGCCCAGTGTGACCTGGGAGCTCCACATCAGACTCTTCAAGAGCAGCCACTGGAGGCGGCCTCTGTCCCCCAGAACCCTGTTGAGGCCCCGTTACTTCCATGAGCCCTGGAGCTTACCTGGGTGAGACAGGAATTGCCACGCAGTAGCAGAGCCGCCACCCATCACCACGGCCTCATTTGAGGGCATTGAGAGCATTTCTGTCACCACAGGAAGAGCCTTGAGTCCGCCTCCCAGCCCATCCCGGGGGCCGTGGCACTATCCCTGCAGTCACTCAGAGCAAGTTCTTCCACACCGGCTTCTCTCATCTAGTGAGGTGTCCCCGGCCCCTCCTGTCGTGGCCCTGTCGGTGTTTGCGCCTCTGTGTTACCCCGTAGCCATCTGTTCTCCGCGCGTGCCGCGGCTTATGCGTCGTCTCATCGGCTGATGGACATTTGGGGTTTTAAGTTGGTTTTTTGGGTGTTTTGGTTTTTTCTAACTTTACTAGAAATGGAAGCCGGGGGCTTCACACAGAGCTACATCCCCAGTGCTTTTTAAAGTTTTTATTCTGAGATAGGGTCGAAAACACCAAGTTGATTGGGCTGGGCTTGAACTTGTGACCCTACTGCTTCAGCCTCCCAGAGTACTGGGATTACAGCTATGAGCCGCTACACCTGGCAAACGATCTGTCCTTTTGCTCTTTTTTAAAATTTATTTTTATATAGCTTATAGTGCCTAAAGCTTATAGATTATAGTTTAAATAAAAATTATTTTTCAAAGAAGTGTTTCAATGGGCCTATTTCCTGGGTTAAGTAGACCAAAAGTTATCAATACATACCCATTCAGTTTTTTTTTTTCAAGATAGAGTCTTCCTATGTAGTGCAGGCTGGCCTTGAACCCACAATGTAGCCAGGGTGGCCTCAAACTCCTGGTGATCTTCCCGCCTCAGCCTCCCAAGTGCTGGAGGTTATAGGCATGTGCCGCATGGCAAGCTAAATATCCATTCAGTTCCTGGAATAATGCCCTGCTAATTCTAAATATGAAAAAGGAAGCTTCCAAAGCCTAAGCCTCATCTTCCTTTAACGCATTCATGGTGGGGCTGCCGTTTCTCTCACTGCCTGGCCGTTCTGAAGCACCCGTACCTGCATGACTGTCCCATGGGGTGTCGTGGCACAGTCCCGTCGGGTCTATAAGCCCCCTGGTGGGACAGTCGTGCAGGCACCACCGGTGGTTCAAGCCCACAGAGCTGTGTTGGCCTCCTCATCACATCCCTGAACGGCAGCGGATCTTTGGAGCTACAGTTGCATGGGTTAAGCAGGAAAACCATGCTCAGAGTCCCGATCTGCCGTTTGTCCCCTTCTGTGATGTGGCCGCGTGGCCGCGTGGCCGCGCCCCCTTGGGAGAGGAGCCCCTGGGTGGCTTCAGCTCACCAGTCCTGTCATCCTAGGCGCCCGCTGCAGACAGCGATGATCCGGGACGGCCTCGTCTTCTGGCTGATCGACACGCTGAGGGAGCCCGACTGCCTGTCCGACTACACCCTGGAGTACGCGGTGGCCTTGCTCATGAACCTGTGCCTCCGCAGCGCAGGTCCGTGCGGGGACAGGGACCAGGGACCGAGTGGGCCTGGCTAGGGTGGGGCCCTCAGAAGCAGCCCTGGGAGGTGGGGCGTTGCCAACTTGCTAGAGGCCCCGGACCCAAATGCTATTCTGGCCTTGAGAGAAATGTTTCTGCACCTACAGGCCCCAACAGGAAGTAGGAATTCAGCTCTTTCTCATCTTCTTTCATCTTCCTTGTTCAAAGTTAGGAAGTTGGCTGGGCATCCGCTTGTAATCCCAGCACTCAGGAAGCTGAGGCAGGAGGATCACTGCAAGTTTGAGGCCAGCCTGGGCTACATAGTGAGACCCTACCTCAAAAAAAAAAAAAAATTTTAAAACCCTGAGGCAAGAACTGTGTCCCCAGCATTCTCCAGGGCTAGGCTGGTGGCAGTAGCAGTGACACTGTGCCACACTTCCTGCCGGTGATCGCTGCCCCGCCCTCCTGGGTCCTGGAGTTCTCACACGGGCGTCACAGGCCCCCTCCCTGTCTGGGCAGAGGCAGCCGCCTTAGCATTCCTGGGGACAGAGGGGCTTTGTTACTAGAGGTGCCAGGCTGCAGGGCGGGAGACGGGAGCACTGGGGGCCCTGGGCGGAAGCGCTGTGCCTCTGACTGTTTTTCCTCTGAGCTGCCTGCCAGTGTGTTGACTGAGTAAACGACAGTTAGCTCATTCTTCTGGGAGCCTAGGCCTGAAGCCCCAGGGTTCAAACCGCTTACTAGGCTGTGATCGGCTTGTCTCCATTACCTCCGGAACCTGCGGGATGGGGATGGTGTTTGGGATTGTGAGAGCGGTGTGACGTTTGTGTCCTTGGACAGGACCACGCTCTGTAGTAGGTGACACCCTGCAGGAACAGCGCCCCCAGGCAGCCTCTGAGGGCACAGCAGGATTCCCTGTCTTAGGCCACGGTCACGGAGATGCCACAATTTGTGGTCAGCCCGACCTGTCTGTAAACTGCTTGTGCACTGACGCCACCCTTTGTCCCCACAGGGAAGAACGTGTGTGCCCGGGTGGCGGGCCTGGTACTCAAAGTGCTTTCGGATCTCCTCGGCCACGAGAACCACGAGGTACGGGGTGCTGGCAGCACGGGCAGCGCCTTGGGGCAGCGGCAGGGACACGGAGCTTGCGGGCTCTCGGGCGGGCGGTCAGGGGCTGGCCCGGGTTCCCTGTCCCCTGCGAGCGAGGTCGGGGCCTTGGTCATCTCTGAGCCTTCGGAACTTGGGAGTGGGGAGTGCTTGGGCAGCTCCCGCTGGGCCTCGCTCTTCTGTCGCCCTCCCGGCTTCGCTGCACCCAGCACTGACGCCCCACCCCCAGTGCGTCCAGTCTCCCTGTGACGCCTGGGGCCTGAACGGTCCAGCACAGCAGGCCTGGGGCGCACGCCCGTAATCCCCGCTCTGGGGAAGATGAGGCAGGAGGGTGGCAAGTTGGAGCCCAGCCTGGGCTAGCCCAGCAACCTAGTGAAGCCCTGGCCCTCACTGCCCCCTCAAAAGGAAACGAAAATGGCTGGGGACACAGCTCAGTACAAAGGCCCTGGACTGAACCCCCAGGTCACAGGGTACTGCCAGGCACCTCAGGATTGGCTGAACTTGCTTTTGCTTTTGCACCCATACCTGGTGCTATTTTCTAATTTTCTGACGTATGGGCCCGAAGCCCTTTCAGTATAAAGCAGAGGTGCAGGTAAGCCAGTGGGCAGAGTCTAATAGGCAGAGCCTGGGCTCCTTACAGACGCCGTAGTGGGACCTATTCTGACAGATGGGCCACTGCAGCGTCACCTTGGGGCTGCTGGGTTCCCCGGGGAGCAGTGGGGTCCCCACACATCCGCTCTCATCCCGAGCACACAGCTGTGCCCCACCACCTCGTTCACAGCTGATTTCCTGCTGCCCAGCAGCGGCTTGCCCTGGCTTCCGCGGTGAGTGGACGGTAGGTGGCGGTCACAGTGCGTGGCACAGCCAGGCTCGACCACCCCAAAGCCCAAGTATACTCTTATTTGCATCTATGCTCATTAAAATCTTCTTGTATGGAAAAAGATGCCACCATCAAAGTCCATAGAGCCAGGTATGGTCATGCACGCCTGTAACCCCAGCATTCAGGAGGCTGAGGCAGGAGGACTGCTTTGAGTTTGAAGCCAGCCTGGACTACATAATGAGTTCCAGCCCAGCCTGAACTACCTAGTGAGACCCTGTCACATAGAAAAATAATAAATCAAAATCAAACAACTGATTTTACTCTGAGAAAAAATGTGCATGTGTGACAAAAATGTGATATGCTTAATAAATAGAAAGCCCCTATAAATTGATGAGTAAAAGTCAAACCACAGCAAAAGGACACGGTATGAAGAGACTGCTTCTGTGCCGTGTGGGTGGGGGGAATGTGGAAAGGTGCTTGCTTGCACTCTCGGTCCAGGGGATGGAAATGGAGTGCGTACAGGACGCCCTCTTAGGGTTTCAAACACTGGCAGTGACAGTAAAGCCCAGCGCTGGCCAGGGGAGGAGGGCACAGGGCCTGGGTCCCTCACGGTGCCTGGTACAGTGTACAGCGCACGGAAAGGGGCTGCGTCAGCACGCCCAGCCACGCACCGCCCTGTGCTCCCACGTGCTGGGGTCCTGGGCCCCAGGTGGGTGGGGACCTAGCGCCCACGTGAGAAGCCAAGGATCCGCGCAGGCGCCGGCACTGTGCTGCGAGCCCCTTGAATAGTGAGGAAATGGGGCCCAGGATGTGCTGGCCGGACTAAAAGTGACCATCAGAGGCGGTGGGCTTGGGAGTGGAGGCGGCCGCAGCGCCAGGCGCCATCTGCACAGGAGAGCAGGCGGTGTGGGAGGGGCCGCTCCTGTCAGATGAGATCAGGAAGGCCGAGCCCCGAAAGCCGAGGAGTGGGGTTCCGAGGCAGAGATGGTTTGGCTTGGGACTTAGTGGTAGCTGTCTCTGGAATGCCAGGTGGCGGCCTGGGCCACTTAAAAGCGTTGCTCCCTGAGTGCGGCTGGGCTGTGATGCCCGCTCTCCTCCTGGCTAGTGCTGGTGCTGGCTGATTGAGTTTGCAGTATTTGAAAACTTGCCGATGACTGGTTTTTCCCTCCCCTGATAGATACAGCCATATGTGAATGGAGCTCTGTACAGCATCCTTTCCATCCCGTCCATCCGGGAAGAGGCCAGAGCGATGGTAAGGAAACGAACTGATAACCCCAACTTCTCAGGAGGCTGAGGCAGGAGAGCTGCAAGTTCAAGGCTAGCCTGGAGAACTAAGTAAGACTCTGTCTGAAAACAGAAGGGGCTGGGGATGGAGCTCAGTGCAAAGGCCCTGCCTTCAATCCCCAGTGTCATAACGAAAGAGGAAGGGAAGAAAGGAAGGAAGGGAGAGAGACAGGAAAATGTGCTGAGCCACGCGGGGACTCCCGTCAGCCCATCGTGCCATGGCTTAGAGCCACGGGAGCTGGGGCTGCTGGGACTGGACTCTGCGGACCGGGCTCCTCGTGTAGCTCACGGACTCTTTGACACTGCACCATCCGTGTTCACTACTTTCTGGGAGAGGGCCTGTAGCTTTTATCAGAATCCCGAGGGAATCCCTGAATTCTAAATGATTAAGAACCCCGGTGTTAGAACATTTTTAGCAGGTTTAGTTTTTGTGGAGTTGTAGACATGCTGCTAACAGCCAAACAGCTCAGACAAGCTGCAGAGATTGTAAACCTCCTGGTATGTGGGTTGCTTAATACAGTGTGAGCTCACTGATTCATGCATTTATGCTAGTGCTTGTGTTTGAAGCAGAGCGTGTGTGTCAGGTGCTTCGTGTCTTAGTTGAGAGAACAGATGTCTCTTGATCTATCAGCAAAGCCGCTAAGGCTTGGTCCTTTCTCCTTACACCGTGTGAAGCCGGGGTAACGGTGTACACACTGGTATTCAGGTACACGCATTTAAGGCAGAAGGATGAAATGCATTTCCACACTCAAAACCGCGGGCTAAATTCAGCTTGAGACCAAACAAGACATTCTTCCCATTCTGTTTGCCTGCTTAGAAAAATTACTGCATCTTCTCCTTGTTCATGCAGAATTACGTCATCACTCATACCAGAGAGAGAGGTTCGTTTAAAAACCGTTCTGTGCAACCGTGCCGACTGAACTTCATTTAAACCCAAATCTGCTTTTTTCTGTACAGGACAGGGAAAAAGAAACTCAGTTCAGCTCTGCACGTGGCATGCAGGCTGAGGGGGAACGAAAGGAGGGCGGAGGTGACGTGGTGCTCCGGAGAGGGCCCGGGTGCGGCTCAGCGGCAGAGCACTTGCCTAGTGCTTGTGAGGCCCTGGGCTCCGTGCTCAGTCGCACACAGATGCACACGCACACACGCGCACACACACACACTCACAGTGAAAGGCAGCAGGAAGGAGACATACTGGCCCAGGGCCGGGGAAGCCAGCGGGCAGGGACCACGTAAGGAGAGATGGAGGTCGAGAGTGGGGTGGGGATGGCCCAGGCCACCACCCGGGCCAGAAGGAGGCAGAGGGCGCAGCCTCATTGCCCACAGTGCCCAAGGTCGGGCATCTGTGCCGCAGGAGGGCCAGAAGGAGGCCCGAGAAGGGAGGCTAAATGATAGTTATGAAACTTGGTGACAAACATACACGTAGCACAGAAATTTTTTACTTAATATATTTGGTTATTTTTTAGAATTGAATTCATTCAACCACAGTCTTTTGTTGTTGTTGTTTTTTGTTTTTTCAGGATAGGGTCTTGCTGTGTAGCCAGGCTGGCCTCGCCGGAACTGCAGGCGTTGCCACCACGCCCGGCAGCAGTTTTTTACTTTGAAAAGAAAACTGGGATCACACAGACAAAAGCCCAAGGGCAGGCTTCCGCCTGTGTCGTACAGTTAGCTCACTGGATCTGGGCCAAGGGCCGCACGGCCCTGCAGAGCCCCAGGCACGCCCATCCTGGACGCGGGCATCCCTGTGGCTGCGGGCGCAGACAGGAGCCCGGTGCGTGGCGGTGCCCGGGCTGCTGCTCCACAGCAGTGAACACAGAAGGAGCCGCAGTGCCCAGGGAGAGAGGACCTGCTCATGCAATTACAGTTCTTTTGCTCAAAATATGAATAGCTATTGAAGGTGATGAGGTAGTATGGAAATTTTTATTATCAAATGAGGGATAAAAGCAGAATGTATCAGCCGGGTGTGGTGGCACATGCCTGTAATCCCAGCACTCAAGAGGCTGAGGCAGGAGGATCACTGAGTTTGAGGCCAGCCTGGGCTACACAGTGAGTTCAAGGCCAGCCTGAAATGCATAGTGAGACCCTGTCTCAAAAACACACAACAAAAGCAGAATGTCATAAGAATGTAAGAACTCTGAGCTTGTAACTGGGCAAAACATTTGTGTGTTTATGGAAAGTGACAGAACATTCATTCAAAGTTAATTCCAAATGCTTTTATACTCTGTGTGTGTGTGTGTGTGTGTTTTAGCCTTTTGGTTTTTTGGTTTCTCTGATCTTGCTATATATTCCAGGCTGACCTTGGACTCACGCTGTAGCCCAGGCTGGCCTCTAATTCATAAAAATCCTTCTGCCTTGGCCTCCTGAATGCTGGGATGACAGGTGTGCACCACCACACCCAGCTATCCTGGTTTTACCAAAAAAAGTGGGGGAGGAAAAGGGAAGTGAGACCCCTGAGGCCATGGGGCTGGGGAAGAGAGGCAGCTGCATGGCACTGCCCTGAGCCAACCAGCTCCCGCAGCCAGCCTGCCTGGGCACCTTCCTGGCATCGGGACCACGACCCCGGCGTGCACATGGCCGGAGCAGACCATGTGCTCTGCCAGAGAGGGGGTGTTCCACCCGCCCGCGATGGTGACATGGCCCACAGCTACCACCTGCCAAGTCAGGGTCTCTGTCTCACTCTCCCCATGCTGTGCCCCTAACCAAAAGAGGGTCCCCCACCTGCCCGTATCCTCGGCTGCCCACTCTGAATCACGGGCTGCCCCAGGTGCGTCTCCGCCAGCGTTTGGGCTGGGTGCCCACTCCCCACTGTGCTGGAGGCTGCTGCTGGGCTCTGGCTGCTGCCGGGAACCGAGCACAGGGTGAAGATGAGGATTAAAAGCAGTTCTGTGGCAGGGCTGGGGCTGCTTGCTGGGGTTCACGGTCCCGCTCGGGACAGGCCTGGCCAAATCCAAGTGGGAATTTTTCTAAGAGGATTAATTGGGCGCAGCATTTTGAGAAACCAGTTTCAGTAATAATAATCCTCAAAAGGTAGTCCCATTTTTGCCTGGTAATTCTGCTCCTGGAGCCCCACACACAGCAGACCAAAGCTCTCTGCATCATGTGCTTGTTACAGCGGTCCTGGGTACAGCGGAAAACGGGGCACAGCCTGAGTGCCCGGCTTTAGGGGATGAGGAAGTTGGAGAAGAGGAAAGGAGAGGTAGTTAAGAGCCCGAGGCTGCATTCGAATCTTATTCTTCTAGGCCTGGTTCTCTGACTCAGGGCTCCTGGTTTAACCTCTCGCCCGGCCCATTTTCCACGCGTGCAGTGGGGATTAGCGCAGCACCAGAGTGTGCGTCTGACATGCACCAGCACTCATGCACGTTCTCAGCTGCTGCTATTGTCACTGCAGTCACAGTAGCTGAGACTGTTTTGTAAATTGTTTTCCTGACACATAAATTACAGCATAGCACTATGTTGTGAGCGTGATCTCCTCGATGTAGAACAGTCCTCATACAGGAAGGAGATTCCTCAGAATGTTCAGTTACCTGTAGATAGGGGCCTGTGAGAGATTCTTGTTCTTTTCTTGTATGTAGCTTATACATTTCCTGCAGAAAGCCTGTATACTTTCCTAATGGAGGGAAATGTTTGCATCTACCTGGTATCTGCATTTCTAAGGGGAACTTGTTCCTGGAAAGCCTGCAGTGACAGGAGTGCCAACTGCTCTGCTGGCTCACAGCAGAGTGTGGGAGGGATGAGCTACTGCGTGTGGATGGGTGTGGGGTAGAGACTGGAGGACTGTGTGTCCCCCACACCCCGTGTCGGGAACTGTGACAGGTGCTTTAGCCCCTCGGTCCCCTCAGGGGACTCTCAAGGAGGGGCCATGCTTGTGCCCATTCTGTTGCTGGTGACATTGAGATGTAGAGGGGACCTGGCACCCCTGCCAGCACGACTGCCTGGCCCATGTGGCCAGGACTCCCTGCCTGTGCTTCTGTCTTTCTTTCCTCTTTTCTTTTCCCTTGTTTCCCCTTTCCTTTCCTTCTCTTTTCCGTCCTTCTTTCCTTCCTTTCTTCCTTCTTTCCTTCCTTCTCTCTGGGGATGGAACCCAAGGCCTCACAATGCTAGGCAAGGGCTCTGCCACTGAGCCACATCCCCTACCTGGATGCAGTGAGAATTCTGGATCGATAGATTTCTCTGTAACCACTGTAACACACACACGGTCTTCTGAGTGCTTACAGGCCGAGCGTCCCCACATGCAAGAATCTGAAATGCTCAGAATCCAAAACCTTGTGAGCACACCCACTCGAAGCTGCAAGTGAAAATTCTGCATCATGAAACTTTGCTTCACGCACAAAATTACGACCAGTGTTACATAAGGTTACCTTGAGGCTGTGTGTGAGGTGTGTGTGAATCCCGCACGAGTGACTCCTGGTTAGGGCTTGGGTCCCCTCCCCACGGTATCTCATTACGCATGTGCTAATGTTCCCAAACCCGAAGTCGGAAGCCCTGGGTCCCGAGCACTTCAGACAGAGGATGCTCCAGGCCAGAGCTGCGACAGGGCGAGAGCTCGTTGCTCTGCACCTGCGCACACTGCATACCCATTTCCTGCACGTGGCTGGTCCCCAGCCCCCGTTATTGTCCTTCACGCCTACCCAGGCAATTTTATTTGGCCAGAATTATCTGAAGTGACAAGCTACTACTTCCAGATAAAATGCTGTAATTTTTATGGCTTCTTTTTTCTACCATTTAGATTAAACATTACCTAATATATGTGGTTTTAAAAAATAAGCAGAATTTCTCACCGGAGTGTTTTCTGTTAAGAAAGTGTCTCCGAGTAATCCTCATTACAGAGGAGTTCATTGTGTGTTTTCCAAGCAACTGTGGAGCTAGAGCTATATGAAAGAGTAAATGAGAATAAAAAGATCTTTAAAGATATGAGTGGATAATCACTCGCAAATAATGCACGGGAAGCAAAGATAAGACAGGGAGCTTGAATGAGCTCTTTGTCCTCTCCTTTCCTGTGGCGACAGCGTCCTGGACACTGCTGTCCCTCTGCTGGCCGGGGGTCACTGGGGTCTTGGGCACACTGAAGCTGGTCCCACCGCCGGCCCTGGGTGACGCCCACCTTCCCCCAGCCCTAGCCTTGGGGGACACGGAGGGTCAGGGGCAGTGGGTGTATGAGACAGAGACATCAAAGCCAGCTGTGCTGGCAGCGGAGGGCCAAGGCGGATCCCGGCTGGGACTGTCTCTCTAGTGCAGCACGGGAGCTGGGCTCGAGGGGGCTTGTGATCCTTCCTTCCACCAGCCTCCTCCACCGCGGTCTCTGTGTGCCCTTCCAGCTCTGCCGCTGTGAAAGGTCTCTGACTCTAGGCCCGTCACCCACCCTGCGCTCTTCTCCCCCTGCTGTCACTGAGGTGGCACTTCCTTTATCCCCGTGGCACCAGCTGGGCTACAAACCCCTACCGGACCCGGCAGCACCAGCCCAGCAGCTCCCTTCTGTCGACTGTCGCACTTGATGCTGCTTTGAGATATAAGCTATGAGCAGTGGGCTGCACAGGCCTTGGATCTTCACAGACGTACGGTCTCCATAACCAGCACCCGGTCATACCGTGCCTTCTCAGAATCCCACGTCCACCCCAGGGGTCGCCCTTATCTTTCACATGAGGGAACAGGCTGGGAACACAGAGGCTCAAGTAACCAGGAATTCCCTCCTTGGGGTTTGGGCGTGGTTCCATCAGGGTTTGGGAGTCCCCGGATGGACCTGTCTGTCAGCACCTCCTGCCTCAGCCTCCTCTGTTTTGGGCTCATCATAGACTTGCGGGCCCCTCTAAGTGTCAAGAAAGCTTCTTTAGCTCCAGCCATTTCTGCCCATTCCAGCCCCCTGGGAGAGGAGTGAGGGCCTGTGTTATGTCTTACCTCCTCATTTCCCCAACCCTCTCGGCCAGTGTGGGAAATTCTGCTGTCCACACACCGGGACAGCGTGACCACAGACTGCAGTGACCCTGCAGTCACTGTGATGGAAAAAGAATGAGGATCGTGTGAAGGGAGCCTCTGTTTGTTCCTCCGCTTCCCTAAACAGATCGGTCGACTTTTCAAAACCCGTACCTGGCCTTAAAAAAACCAAAAAGCAGTGTCCGAACTCAGGGAATACACAGGAAAGAAATCACCCTCCCAAACAACGTATCGGCAAAACTAAGGGAAAGTTGGCAGCAAGATTTTACAGTAATTTCCTTTTTTGCTAATTGTTGCAGAATTTACACGGAAGGGTAGTCAACGGGAAAGAGAATAACGTCACTATGGATTATAAAAAGAAAAAGGACGTTTAGTTGTAAATGGGATTCTTACTGTACATGTCCCTTCCCACAGTGGTAGTAATAATTTGGGGTTAGATGGGATGGTGCCCTGACAGGTGACTCCCACCCAAGTGCCCCGGAATTCACGGTCTCTCTGCCCCTCGCAGGGCATGGAAGACATCCTGCGCTGCTTCATCAAAGAAGGGAACGCCGAAATGATCCGCCAGATAGAATTCATCATCAGGCAGCTGAACTCGGGTGAGCGCAGCGGCCTCTGCGGTCGCCATGTGCACACCTCACGTGCGCTGGGGACACCCGGGCTTCCTCGCAGGGGCTGTGACTCCTCAGGGAGTGGGGGCCACGCCAGCTCAAAAACTGAGGTTCAGCCAGGTCCTCAAGGCCAGACTACCCAAAGATCAACGAGCTCTTTGTTGTACTGTGGTCACACAGCCCATAAAAGAGTTAAAAGCCATTTCAGAAGCACTTCCCTAACCCGTAACTTCTCTTTACGGGCCCTTCCCCGGTCCCTCCTAAATCCTGCACTCCACCTGCCGATGGCATCCCAGGGCCCGGGGTCAGATACTGTGGCAGATGCCAATCTTTCTAGCACCACCTGGGAGAGCGTCCCAGTCCTTGTCCCTCACGCATTCACTCCAGAAGCGGGTGTGCTTGTCAGCTGTCCTTTCTGTCCAGCATCCTCCGTCACTGTGACAACACGTCACACTCCTGAGCAGGGGCTCAGGCCAGGGCGGCCTTGGTGGCGAGGTGCTCGGGGGCGCTGGCACAGAGGCCTCGGGTTTTGCCAGCATCTGGGGCCGAGGCTGTCGCCTGTATCCTTGTACCCACACCACAGCTGGCATCTGGGAGGCCAGAAGCTCCCAGCTGGCCTGTCTTCCGCTCCCACGGCCACCTGGGCAGGCATCATGGACCTCACAGCTGTGCCCACACTTGGTAGATCAGGGCGCTTGGGGGGCGCTCTGAGGCTCCCACATAGCTCCACCGGCCGCCAAGCTGGAGCATTGCTGCAGAGCGTGGAGAGGAGGAGACGGGGGGGCCCTGGCTCGGGGGGCGCAGCCGGGGCAAAGGGCCAGGGCTGTGCACCCGCTGCTGCTTTCAGCCCCGTTTCCATTTGACTCCCCTGTGATGATCACAGAGCAAGAATGATTCGGCCCAAGCTCAGGTGAGCAAAGAAGACAGAACTAGGCCCTAGCGCTGCGCCCACATCTGGCATATAAACAAATGCAGTGGAACAAGACCCGGCCTCCGTCCTGGCAGAGGCTGCCCCTTGTCTGCTTGCTGTGTCTGGTCCTCCTCCAGGCCGGCCTGTCCGCCACAGGCCACATCTGGCTTGGGGTCTCCCTGCATGCTGCCGTCTGCACCTCCAGACTGAGACCCTGTCTCGGGTGTTTCCGTCCCGGGCTCCCTCCCGCTGCAGCCCAGAGCAGGGTGCAGGCCCCATTTGCTCTCTGGCCCGAGAGACATCGTTCTCTCACACAAACGCGGTCCCTGGCCAGCGTGCCAGAGGGTGACGAGGGAGGAGACAGCTGCCGCCTTTGTAAGGGATCCGCTTTGGCAAGAAGTCGCGGGCAGAGCCGCAGCTGCACAGCCCTGGGTGTTCTGGAAGGCTTGGAAGCGCCTGCCCGCTCACTGAGTTCCTGTTTACATAAGGGGCTGAGAATATTTCCTAAGTCATTCCTTTTTTTTTTTTCCTTTTGGTTTTTTGAGACAAGGTCTTATTGTGCAGTTCAGGCTGTCCTTGAACTCACCATATAGTCCAGGCTGGCCTCAAACTCACAGCAATCCTCCTGCCTCAGCCTTCTCAGTGCTCAGATTACAGACGTGCACCACCACCCCTGGCTAAAGTCCCTAAACTACTCTTAACCCATGGGACGGAGGCCGGAGCCCCAGAGATGATTGCCCAGGAAGCTGCTCCTTTGAAACAAGATTTAGAAGTCACTGCACAGTTGACAGACGGCCAGGCACACACACACACACACACACACACACACACACACACACCATGGGACGCGTGCCACCAGTGTCCAGTTGAGGTGGACCTGGGAGAGGGGTCCCAGGGACCTTTTGTCCCTTTGTGTCCTTGCCGGGAACCAAGGGCCTCGTGCCTAAGGCCCACGAGATGGCATGGCCCTCTCTTTGTTGGGAGGATGGGGCTCTCACCCCGCGGAACTTGCAGCGTGGAACGGATTTTCCTGCATCTGGGCCGGTGCCGTTCTCAGCATTGATTTCCTGGCACCGCTTTCTGCTTTCAAGTACAAATTAGAAGTAAAATTTAGGAACCCGGCTCCATAGGTGGGGAGGGACAGCCCTGCTGAGGCCGGAGGGGCCAGGGCCTGGGCAGGGACAGGCAGAGTGTGCAGCCCAAAACAACGGTTGGGGCCCCTCCAGGGGGGTTGTGCCCTGGAGGGGCCCCAACCGTAGCGCCAGCGCGGGGTGCGGGGAACCAGCAGAGACCGGCTGCTCCAGGGAGAAGCTGGGCCCAGCACCAGACCTCACCAGCCATCGAGGTTGGCACCTCAGGGGGTGCGCCGCTCGGGGACAGCACGGAGCACAGTTGTCCCAGGGAGGAGAAGCTGGGGCCTGCAGGGCCCTGCATTGTCCTGGGAACCCGGCGTGAGCACCATCATCCTGAAAGGCGCCACCTAGAGGCGAAATGGAGTCGCTGTTGTGTGCGGGCAGGACGTGGACCGGAAACCTCAAAACCCCGGCGAGCGCAGAGTGACAGCGGCCTCGGGTCTGTGCGGTCTGCAATCCCAGCACCCCAGGGGGCTGTGGCAGGAGGGTTGTAAGTTTGAGACCAACCTGGGTCACGCATGAGACCGTGTCTCAAAATAAAAAATGGAAAAGCTGCCCTGAGGATCAGGTGAAGTCACACCCGTGCAATGCCCGGCTGTAAACGTTTTCTTTCCCTCCCCAGTTCCCACCTTACATGTTGGCTCTTCGTTTTTCCCACACTTGGCTAAAGGTGTCTTGATAAAAATGGAAAGATTTGATAAAAATTGCCAAAGAAGACATCAAACAATTGTTGCAGGGGTCATGATTAGAAATAGTTAAGAGGCCAGGCACACGAGTGTAATCCCAGCACTTCAGAGGCTGAGGCAAGAGAATTTCCAGGTTTAAGACCCCCTGGAATACATAGGGAGACCTTGTCGCAAAAAAAATAAATGAATAAAATTTTAAAAGGTTAAGAAGGGCATGGCCAGGAGTGGCGGCGGCCGTTCTCCTCTCAGTGTCACTGTGGTGCCTTGGCATCCCTGCAGGGCCCTGGGTTCTCAGTTACTTACTGGTCTTTCCTTTGCAGAAGAGCTGCTGGACAGCGTTCTTGAGTCTGACGATGAGGAGGAGGAAGACGACGAGGTAAGCCAGTGGCTCTGACGCTACACAGAAAACGCGTCCCCCGCGATTCTGAGTCCCTCGCTGCCGTGAGCGCTTGGTCAGAGCAGAGGTCCTACTCCTCTGTGGCCTCCTCAGTTCTGTGGGCGGCTCGGGCACAGCGGGGCAGTGGCTTTGTGCTGGCACTTGGGGTCTCGGTGGCGGCGTCCAGTGTCCAGCACCTGTCATGGTCGAGCGAGCCGGCCCGACTTCTGGGAGGTGGGCGCTGGGCTCCAGGAGGGAAGCGGTGAAGGCTCCTGTCCTCCCGGGCCTCGCGGGTCTCCGGGAGTCACCGTGTTCAGTTCTGACATGTGGAAGCACATGCCCGGGCCAGAAGGGACAGCGGAAGGACACAGGGTGGCAGGGCTGGTGACCGAGTCTGCTGATCGACTGCACCCTCAGACAGCAGCGGTGCCGCATCGCCCTCCTGCAGGATTTTTGGACACGGAAAGATGAGTGTTGTGTGTCGTTGCCAAGACCTGCTCAGCCAGTGGGGTCCTGAGAGCGGGCAACGAGGGATTAAGAAAAAACTAGACACATGGTAAAAGCTGGGACCGGGTGGGACCTGACCTCCGATGGAGAGGCCGTGACAGCCCAGTGTGACCTACGTCTTTATTTATCCACAGTAAAAAGGGGAGAAGTGGGAGATGGGGCCAAAAGTGCACGCTCTCGTGTTCTGCTGAGAACACTGAAAGGAGCATTCTCAGAGCTCTCTGTGCTGTAGTTTACAGGGAGGAACGCCAAGGCCGGACATGGGCTGGACCGGCCTTGCTCCAGTCTGACAACTTGCTCACGTGGTTCGCCTCTGGCTCTCCGTGTTCTCGGGTTGGCCTTGCTCCAGCCCCGAATGTGTGGGTGATCTCTGGCTCAGCCACAGCTCAGCCGCTCCTCACATGTTGCCAGTTCCATGCTGTGAAGGGGCACAGCCTGTCTCCCCCACCTGGCCCCCTGGCACATGCCAACGCCGGACACACAGGTCGTACTGAGATGCTCTGGGCCCCGGAGTCCCAGCTTTCCATGATTTATTTATTTAAGGTAGAATCTCACTATGTAGCCCAGGCTGGCCTCTAACTTGAGGTCCCCCTGCCTCAGCCTCTGAGTCCTGGGAGTACAGGCACGCATCACCACACTGGGCTCTTTGTGTTCTTTTGATATGGGTTTCCTTAGCTGTGACAAAGCCACCTCCCTGGTGCTCAGAGCAAAAAGGCTCGGAGGTGAATGTGTAGTGTCTCTGAGGTGGTGTGAAGGGTAGCGGCTTGGGCTGTGGTGGACGTGGGTGACAGGAGTTGCACCGTTTTCCCCTAAGGGTAGTAGAAAGGGCAGACACACTACCCCGCCCCATCCTCATTGGAACACACGTCCTGCCCTCCGTTTTGATTTTTTTTTTTTTTTTTTTTTTGGTTTTTTTTTTTTTTCCGGTACTGGGAACCAAACTCACGACCTTGCGCTTGCCAGGCAGGCACTTTGCCGCTGAGCTAAATCCCCAGCCTCTTGCCCTCCGATTTGGGGAGCAGTTAGTCCTGAAGTGACTGTCAGAAGATCCTTCTGTTTGGGGAGCAGTCACTCCAAACATGGATGAGGGAAGACATATTTTTCTTTGAACTATCATCTGTCAGTTTAACAAGTGGGTGAAAATGCCAGGCATGATGGCATACGCCTGTGATGCTAGCACTCTAGGAAGCTGAGGCAGGAGGATTGAAAGATCAAACCCAGCCTGGCAAGTTAGCAACTTAGCAAGACCCCGTCTCAAAGTAAAACGAAAATGTACAAGGGGTCAGGATGTAGCTCAGCGCGGCCAGTTTTTCTGCCAGAAGCGTCGGTCGGGGAGGACCTGCCTTCTTCAGCAGGTGCCCAATGCTGTTTCCTCCCTGGGCCACAGGTGGCGCCAGCAGACGCCCTGGCAAGCTCTCGGGGAGCTGGGTGGGACAAATTCGGTGGCACTTGGCCTTTGCCCTCCGGCTCAAGGCCACCCAGCCTGGTGGTAAAATCTGCCTCCGCACAAGGTCAGCAGACTTTTTCTGTGGTGGAGCCGGGAAGGCTCCGGGCCTGACCTGACATTTGTTCTCAGCTTCAGCCCTTCATTCTGCTCCCATAACACAGGGAACTGTTGAGGAACCTGTGTTCCCATGGCACTATTTGTGGACACTAAAACTTAGAATGTCATACAATTTATGTGTCATTAAACCTTTCTTCAGATATTTAAAAATATGAAAATCACTTGGGAGGCTGAGGCAGGAGGATTACTGCAAGTTCAAGGCCAGTCAGCGCTGCATAGCAAGACCCTGTCTCACAAAAACAGATAAATGAGCAAACACCATGAAAACCGTGGTCAGCCCAAGGCCATATTAAAACCGACCTGCAGGCAGTGGCCAGGCACCCTCAGGAGGGCACGCGGCACTGGGCCAAAGCCATTCTGAGTTACGGTTTGAGTGAATGATTTCATTATTTGGCTCGTAACTTTTTCCCATTGTGGCCAAAAGTTTCTGTATGCCTCACTTTTCCCCTCTGCCGCATCACCCTTTGGGATTTTCATTTCGCTTTGGGTTTTGCTTTATTTTTGCTGCTAATTCTTTTGTTTCTCCATTGCAAGGGAAACTCACTTGGCCCGAGAGCTAAATCCACTAGAAATTCACTAGCCCGCTGAGCTAAATCCCCAGCCCCACACAGCTTTTTCTTTTAAGAGGTTGGTATTTGAAAACATGGGTCATGAAAACTAGGATTTTCGGAAGACTCCAGAAGAGGGAGGGACAGGCGCCTAGGTGAAGGGAAATTTCTCAGAAGCATCTGTCCCCCGGCCCTGAGACCGCTCTGAAGGAGGCAGCAGAACTATTGTCAGGGGCTTCGAGCCAGCCTCATCTGGCTTAGCAGTGCAAAATGTTTTTAACTTAATATTTAGATCCAAAACAGATCATGAAATCACTGCTGTGAGTCGGCTGGTGGTGAGATGATGACCCGGCCCTGCGGGGTGGCCAGAGCCAGGGTAAATACTCCTGCCGTCCTCAGGCTTCCCACAGGACCACCATAATCCCGCCTTCTCTTTTTCTCTTAATTTCTAAAAGTATCATGACTCATCTAATGTGCTGAAAGGGTTATGCCTGCACACACACCCACTTCTCTATAAAAGTCATAGTGCTGGAAACCTATGTCCTGGTGTGTCGCCCTCATAACCTGAAGGCATGAAGGAAATCATAAAACTACCGGAACAGTAGTGAAAAACCCAGCATATACACACGCGGCCGAGAGCCGCTGTGGCACAGGCTGAGCGCACAGAGGGGCGTGGCCAGCTCCACCCCGCGTGTTGACACTGGTGGCCTCGGGAGGACACGGAAGCCGGGGTGACAGGCGGGAAAGACCCAGGGTACAGATTCCTCAGGCCAGGGAAGCGGGAGCTGGACGCTGATGTGGCCCAAAGGTCAGCTACTGTGCGTTTCTGTGCATTCACCAGGCAAAGGCCACGCTGGATTAAAGTGCAAAAGTGACTCTAAGAAGGACCGCAGCACACCAGCGGGCATGGGGCTACGGGGGCACTGGGTTTGGTTAAAGATGAGAGAGCGCTTACTCTCTCTTGGGTGTGATGTCACACATCTATAATCTCAGCACTCGGGAGGCTGAGGCAGGAAGATTGCCGGGACTTTGAGGCCAGCCTGGGCTACATAGCAAGTATGTCTCAAAAAGCAAACAAACAAAGATAGGAGAGACCTCAGCATATCAGATGCGGCTGAGAAGGCTGATGTGCAGGGCCAAAGCTGGGACCGTTGAGATAGGGAGAGGGGGACCCAGGAGGACAGGGGTTTTCATTCCTTTCTGAGTTGCTTCTTATGGTCTCTTGGCTCAGGCAGCCTTAGGGAAGTGAAATCATCATCAGGTAAGCCTGGAAATACACACGCGTGCGGGGTGCGTGGCCACAGCTGCCCTTTAAGGGCTGCCAGCCAGCTCCCCAGCACCCCAGCTCCCCAGAGCAAGTGCGTTCTAGGTCCTTTCACTGACAACTGCAGTGCGTCACCAAGGATGGCAGCAAGTGACGGGCACAGCAGCCTGGGGCCAGTGTCCTCGCCCCGGGAGCACAGGTTTCCTTGTCCCATGGTAAGGCGAGGCCCCACGTGTCTGGCTCCCAAGTGGCTGTAAGTGGCGAGGAAAGGCCTTCCTGTTCTCTTCCAGAAGACTGGTTTTAGGACAAATATTTCCCCCTTCTTAATAAAACAGGTTTCAGTGCCAGGTGAGGTCAGCCATGGCTGTGGACTTGCCCGGTCCACATAGGTGACAATCATTGATCCCCAGTTTCCTTCTGTACGGACTTTGCTAAGCCAAGAGTCGTTGGTTATTTATTGAGCAAATATTTAAGGGCTTTGGAATAACAGTGTCCTAGGAAATAACAAGGAAGGGATGTGAAGACCAAATCTGCACACATATTTGTGGTTTACAGGATCTCCAGGAGTGTCTGATCTTGAGCAGAGCGGGAGTGACAGAGTGACCATCCTGGGGACCAGCATCGCCTTCTGCCTGCGCTGCTCACGGCAGCCTGTCGGGGGCGCTGTGACGATTCCCTCTCACAGACCAGAATGCGGAGAGCGGCAGTCACTCGTTAGATTTACAAAGCTAGGGAAGAGGTGGGGAAGCGAGTCCCACCCGGTGCCCTGCCTCAGCAAAGCAGGCCCTTAGCCATGGCCCTGGGGACTTCCCCTCAGACACACCAGGGGTGAAGCAAAATATAGCAAATGGTTAATTTTCTAAAATTATAGTAAAAGCCACATTGCCATGAACCCCGCCTCAGAATGCTCCCCTTCTCTTCGGACACTCATCCCATCACCCTCCCCACCTTCTGCAGCAGCTTGGGAGTCCTCTTTCACCAGCGTCTTCAGTTGTGCTCTCTCAGCTGCCTCGATGCCCCGAGTTGATTCAAAATGTTGACCTTTCATGGTCATTTCTACTTAGGGGAAGAGCCATAGGCCACGCAGTACCAGAGCCGGTGAACTAGGTGGGTAAGG